TATAACGTCAGGGTGCCAAGGAAAAAAATGGTATACTTGTATATTTAAGACATTGTTCCCTTATCCTTATACAATCATTATTGAACACATAGAAAGAGAAAGAAAGTCAAACGAAGCCACAATATTAACTACTGGGAGGGCCGCCTTGCTAACAAAACCACGTGATTCGTTACTATGGTTACTGCATAACTCATAGACAATTGGAATAACCACAAAACTAGTTTTCAATGTTTTGCAGATTTTTCTTAAATTCGGCAAACGCGCATCTATCGCTATTTAATACATCAGTGCTGCCTTCTACTAAATGACACGTGAACTTATTTTCTCATCTGTTAAGTGATAGCTGAACTAATTTCTCACTATAAAAATGCCAACTTATTACGGTAACATCAACAAAATCCCTAGTTTGCAGCTTTTAATTGTAATTTTATCTTTAGGTACAGTTAATTTAAAAATTACGGCAGTATGGATAACAAACATTTGCTTAAAATAAAGGTTTTTGGATAGTTAATCATTTAACGTAGTTATTTTGCACCTAAGTTCAATAATTATTTCACAATACCAATTTTTAGGCACGTTACCACGTAAGTTATGACATGGATGCATTTAAGTACAGTTATGAAAAAAATACTGCTGTTTTTGAAAATGTTAACTAGATATCATTAAAATAGAAAGTTTACAGTTTACGTACATAATCATAACTTGAAGATCTGTTTTGAAATAGTGACGATAACTGTACCTAAAAAGTATATAAATTTTAACATTGTGACATACCACCTTAATCCAAAGTCATTAAATTTAGCAGAATAATTAATTCATTTAACCCTGAAATTACTACTAGTACCGGTTTTTGTGAGTGCTCCTGGTAACATTTAGAATATATTGGTTTGTTTATTGCTGATATTTAAAAAAAAATGTAGCTGTGGCTGTCACCTGATGGTGGTTCGTCGAAATACCAAAACACACCGTTAGATATTAGAAAGTTTAAAAATCGACGTGAATTTGTTATATCTCTAAAATTTACGAGTTGACAGGGGGGCAAGACTTTATCTTCTCACTGTGTAATAAAAGTATAAATAATCTTATTTTTTATTATCTTTATTAGGGATTTTTTTAGTTTTTGTCAGTGCATAAGAGGAACATTTCTGCGTGAACGCAAATTCAAATTCCTTCTCACATTTTCTCAATTTTGACATTGTTTTGCTGAATTTGTTAATCTTTCATGCATTCCGACAGCGTGTCCCCTTTTTATTGTTTTATATATCTCATCTTACTCTAATATAATTCACTCAAAATATAATTCTTTAGATGTTTGCATTATATTGGTTCCAGTCACTATATAGCATATTGAGCCCTTCCAGGAAAAACATCGTAACGAACAATTTTTCGAATTTTTGATTTTTCATGAAAAATGATCCTAACAACAAGCTTTTTCGTTGATCAAAACATTGTAATCCAAACGAACACGGTTTTTAATTTAAATAGTGTATGTAAGTCAATATCCGTGAAAGCCAAAACATCGTAACCGTGTGTATTTTATTTATTGTATGGCACTTGACACATTTACATTTTAATTTACATATTATTTGTATAAAACATAATACATATATGTTTACAGACAAACATCTAACTTATTTATATATTCTATCGACTCTGGAGTCGCCATTAGGAAATCATTGTAGATAATTGATGGATTCGACCGTTACTTGATGGAAATTCATTTTATGTAACAATAAAACACTGAAAACTTTGTTTTCAAACTTCCACAAAATTTATTTTAACTCTTATCACTACAGCTGTTTCGGCTGATTACCTTTCTCAAGTGATCTATTTTTGGCATGCGTTTACAATTTATAGTCTCTAATGAAATAGGTTGAGGAGGGGAGAATTGTTTGTCTCAAGTTGGTCATTCAGAATTATATGTGTTTTTTAATTTGTTGATTTACATAGATTCTAACAAAGATAGCTTAAGGCCTTTATTTTGAGTGTGAAGAATTTTAAATTTGTCTGTTTTTCTATTATTGAAAGTCCTTTTATGTTCTGCTATTCGTTTATTAAAGTTTCTACCAGTTTGACCGATGTAATTTTTTGGGCAGTCGCCACATTGAAGTTTGTACACACCACTATTTAAGTGTGTTTTTTTTTATTTTGGCTCTTGTTATTTTTAATATATTTTCCTAGATTGTTATTTGTTCGGAAAGCTGGTGTTATTCCTTTCTTTTTTGTGTTTAACTATTTTTGTTGTTATTTTGCCTGTATATGTAATCGAGCAGAAGGTACTGGGTTTTTTCTCTGGTGGTGGAAGTATTAATTTTGGGGCTTTCTTGTGTAGTTTTTGATTTAACATTTTTTTAAATCCTTGTAGGTAGTTTGGGGTGTAGAGCTAGTTCGCGTCCGTAGTAGAATACTGCACGTGCACCTTGGGTAACGCTAAATGAACGAGCAAATACTGGCGGTCAGATAATCTTAGGATCTCCTGACCAGACATATTGCAAACAATGCCATTAAACCGTGTGTATAAAAAATCGTTACGATACTTTTGCATGGTTACGATGTTTTGGGCAAAACCCAGTCGAGTCCGGATGTGACAACTTTTCTTATCCGTCAACAGGCCTACAACACAACATTAAGTTATCGGACTCAAGGTTGTCGATCAAGACAATTCGGTGATTTAGGAGGGACTTGTGTAGGGGTGCAATTTACCGTTATCGGCTAGTGAATGGTGACCTCATCAAACACACCCGTACAGTGGATCCTTTGTACAGTGTAGATAAACAAGTTATTAGTAGTTTTTGAAAGTTAACAAGTTTTCTTGTGAATTAATTATTGTTTGGTTTTTATTTTAATAAATACATAATGTATATGTATATATAATAGTATGTACTTAATCTTTTAAGATTTCAAAATTCATAATGTAACCTAAAATAGTCGTTCTTGTTCCTTCTTAACTTAACTGAGAATTAATTGTTTTTTTTTGTGATCTTTTATTTTCATTATCGTGCAATTTAATTAACCTGTAAAATTTGCAGCAAATCCTTCTCCAAAACATAAAAATATAATCGTATAGGAAAACAATTCTTTAAAAAATCTACTTATTTTTCTTGGGCCAAGTTGGAAACTCTTCTTTATTTCCAAATGCATTTAAAAATGTTTATGATCAGGTGTTTGTTTTATTTATCATAAATTTGGTTACTTATATCGTGAGAATGACGAAAATTATGTATGTTGGATATTATAAAGCCTGATTTTTGTGTCTATGAGAAAATAATTCATAGGTATTTCAGGGTGAAAAGGCAAACCAAAGTGCAAGAATGCTGAATTTGGTATTATCTTGAAAAACGACGAGTATCAAATGGAGGAAGACCCACCAGTTGTATTAAATTAAACCGTTTCACAAAGAGATTTTTTCACAAAGAGGTAGTCACCTGGAAGATTCAAAAATGTCATGGAATCCAGAAATTCAATAAGAAGATAGCTCTGATACCAAGAGCCTTGAAAGTATGCCACCCAATGAAGATCTTTTAGTGATAGGGGAAGAGGAAACCGAAAGCAAAAGTCACTTCCCAAAAAGGTTTCGAGAATTGAAAAATGCACAGGCAAAAATAAAGCAGTACAACCTAACCCTTGTCTTAATAAAAAATGGGGTAATAAATATGCTGAAAAGTTAAGTGAAGAAGATCGAGTTTTGATTTTTGAAAACTATTGGGGTATGGCAAGCTCATAAAGGCAAAGAGATTGAATCTTATCCTGTATGGTGGAAACCCCAATGAAACGAAAAAATGCTGAGTCTACGCAAAAAACAAAAACCATGGAATATTATAATCCATATATAACAATGAAAAAGTAAAAGTTTGCCAACAATTTTTAATTAAAACACTTAATATTTCCAGAATGACGCTACGATATACGAAAGAAAATGCCCTAACCAATAACATGGCTAAACAAGACCAAAGGGGAAAAAGATGCCCTAAAAATAATTTCCTTCTAATCAAGTCTCTTTGGTTAAGGAATACATTAAGCGACTACCGGCTGTTCCTTCCCATTATTGTAGGAACAAAAGCAATAAATTATATCATCCAGCCGAGTTTGAGAATGTTATTAACTTGTATCGCTTATACAAAAAATATCTCGTTGACTGTGAAAAACTAACTGAAATTGTATCACTCAGTAAATTTCGAAAAGTATTTCGGTCAGATTTTCATATTGGTTTTCTTCTGCCAAAGAAAGACAAATGTAATCTTTGTCAGAAGATTAAATATCTACCTAGCCTTGAACAAGAGGAAGAAAAGAAGACAGAATCCCAGATGTAACACATTAAAGTATGTATTATCCCAGCAGAGTTTAAAGATGACTTCCTTTTATTACCCCATAGTGGTTACAGACTGCTTAATGGAAACAAATAACGAGAATACAAGTGACGTTGATTTGTGATTATAACTTTTGTTTAATAAATGTATAAATTTCATAATTGTAATTTTTTTCATTGATTCTCACCAAATAAAACACAGTTAAAATAAATCTTAAGCAACAAGAATGCTTTAAATTTGAACACACGAAATGTCATAACCATCTCGACAAAAAGCGCAAGAGACACTTAGCACAAAAATTTGAAAAACTAAACATCGTAAGTAGCATTACTATTACAAAAATAAAACATACAACATAATTACTCTCGTCATTTGTGAAGCACACTACTAAATAATATAATATAAAATATTTAACTTTCAATACTGATTGGAACGAACATTAATTAAAAAAAACCTCCTCCTGTAAAATTGCACTTTTGCTGGTTACGAAGTTTTTCCTGCAAGGGCTCGATATTATGCTGTAATATTTTTATTTTGTAGCTTATATTGTTAGTCAGAATGTAGCTTATAATGTTTTTCGTACAATTTACACTTCTCACGAATTAAAATTTTGCTATTAATTAATTTATTAACTTGCTATAATACTAATAATTAATCAACTGATCTCAAAATTCTGTCTTAAATAATACTTACATTTAACATAAAAATCCGTCCATTTAATCGTCGAAAGTAATTTTCTTATTTTCTGCAGACTTAGCACCAAAACTGTCTCTCTCGTTGAAATTGTTACCGAAACCACCTCCCCTGCCGCTCTGATCACCTCTGAACCCTCCTCTTCCGCCCCTATCATTACTGAACCTCCCACCTCTACTGCCCCTATCATTATCGCCAAACGATTTTCTAAAGTTACCCCTACCGCCTCCTCTATCGTTACCGCCGCGGTTTCCTCCTCTGCCACCGCGGTATCCACCCCCACGATTATTTCCTCCTCCCCAGCTATTTCTGTCGCCGCCGTCAGAACTTCTGTTGTTGAATCCACCACGGAAGCCACCTCGAGCTCCCCTCCCTCTACCACCACGGCTACCGAACGAATTTCTATCGCCCTGTATATAATAGTTTTGAACGTTCAAAGAGAGAGACGGGAATTGGAATGGAAAACGCAGCAATAATATGAAAAAGAAAAAAGCATGTAAGTACAACAGAAATGGCAAACTATATTGAAAGGATCATGTAATGTGCAAATCTCATTTGGCCTTTTGTTTTTAGTTTTTAATTGTTTAAGTTATTAAATAAATGCATTAACAATAGTCCAATGATAAACTAATTTTTTATTTACTTCCATGTATATCAGAGTAGCTAAGAAACACCCCGCATTTTATAAATAGTGAAATATATCTCTGATATAAAGATTCAAAAATTAATTCGTTTGGGTTTATTAATAAAACCATGTTAATGTGATGCTTAAGGGAACGAATAAAGATTCTTTTGATTATAGATCCACAAATAAGCTTAGAGAAGCACAATAGACCATGTAATGGTAAAAATATATTGTCATCGAAAGAATAATCACGCTTAAGTAAAACTCAAAGGGGCATTTTGTGATGGCGCAAATAAACGTTGGCTAAGGGCCATGTTATACGAGCGTTAATGTCGTCGCGTTAATGACGCGGAAAGCAGGGCGTATAATTTCTCAGTTATAAGTGCCTTTAGTTGCGTCGCATTGAGACCACTTTGTTCGCGTTGTCAGCGCTACGTATAACTTGATGCAACGCATGAACTGTGCGCAACTAAAGCGACTGGCCGCGCTAACGACGCTTTCCGTCAGATAACGCAGATTCGCTGAGGGCAATGTTCGTATAATTTACTTCATGGTTGGTGCCATTGTCCGGCTGGGCCGACGTTAACGTATTATGGTAATATGAGAAGTGTAGCATTTGTAAATTTCTTGATATATATTCAAATTCCCTCGTATATAATTAAAACATTGAAGAATGCGTGAAGAAGTATATTTTAGTTCCTTTCGTGCAAGTTAAAAACACCCATAGTATATTTCGATCTCTTTTGCGTCGTCAAGTTGATATAAACACGTTTTAAAAGTTTGTTTACATTTCACAGATACGTACTTTCTCGGCATTCTTCTACTGGAAAGCGACTTTTATAATTTCCTGTGTTTCAAATAAATATTCCGGTTATGTTTTGTTAATATTAAGTTGGGAAGCGAATGAGTTTTAAGAATTCACTCATTCTCACTGAGGTTGCTGTCAGGGACAGTTGGCTTCAGTGTGGATCGAAATTTTAGGTCCAATTTGAAATGTCCCTCATTTTTTGTTAATTTCCTTGGTAAATATGTACTGTGTACTAGCAGTTTAATGTGTAGTTACGATTTAGAAGAATCGTTGTTTCCATCCTCGTTTTGTTCCTTCCTGGTTGTCATCCCAGGCTTTTTGGTAGTTTGAGAGATGAATTTGTTCGTGTGTTCGTTACGCAGAGAGTTTAAGTCCAGTTTCTACCCCCAGAAATTCCGAGTGAAGTCCAGTTATAGAAAATTTAAAGTAGTTTAGTGAAACTCAGGTAACTTTTTTGTTTAAACTTGATGATGATGATAATGATGATGATAATATCATCATCACTGGCTCGACAACTCATTTCAGGTCTTGGCCGCTTCATGATTCTTATCAGTTTCCTACTTTTCCCCCATTTTTTTTATTCTTAAAGATTTTATATAATTTTCTCATTATTCTATTTATATTAGCTTCGATTTTCCTCTTTTTCTTTTTCCTACTGACATCTGTTTGCTTATTTTATTTGGTATTTCGTCTTTTTCCATTCTTTTCACAAGTCCCATAAAACGCAGCAGTCGTCCTGTTTTAATGAATGTTACAATATCAGGATCCTGGTATATTTTGTATAGTCCAAAGTTATATCTTCTTCACCAAATTCTATTTTCTTTTGTGCCACTGTATATGTGACGCAAGACGTTTCTCTTATTAAGTTTTTGTATATTTGGAATTTTGTTTTTCTTGCAACGTTATCTGATCTTAATTGCCTAATTAAGTCATGTTAACATTTATCAATGAATATTAGCCTCTGGTTCTTCTGCAACGATTTTATCAGACATAAGTTTCTTACCCTCTGAATGTTATCGTTAGCTTTTGTAGCTCCTGATTTCTGAGTTTTTACTTGTATGCATATATTTTTTGTGCAGCTCGTTCTATTTGATTGAATGCCTATATAATTTCTCTTCCTGACCTTGGGATATATCAACATAATTTGCATTTGCACACTTTTATTATTGTTCCTATAAGAAGACCAATTAACTATGTAAAGACTATTCCTTCAAGAATGAAGGGATATATGAGAAGAAAGACTGTTGACTAGCAAATTCAATAGGGTTCTTCCTCAAGTAATAGAGACCTATGTGCCAAGTTTCAAGACTCAAACTTTTCCTTAAGATCTCTAAAGACAGACAGCCAAAGATACGATTTTAATAAGCTTCTGTCGAGTTCCTAATAAATAAAAACTACAAATTATCTGAGAATTAGAATGGGAATGGCAAATTTATTTTCTAACTTTTATCTGAAAGCAGACAGATGCAATATATAAGCTTTGTTCCAATCACACAACCAATATTCGAAAATCACTTAGAAACCGATTTTCTAAAAATACTGGTTTTTTTCACCTAGATATCGATTAAGATGATATAAATTGACATTTTTAATAGTTTTTTTTACGATTTTCTGTTGCTTAGACAAAACCTAATAATTAATACTTAATTGATTGAATTACTTTCTGTTGGAAATAATCTATATGTGTAAAATACTATTTATAAATGTCTTTCAATTGGATGCTCGCCATGCCAGTTGCACTTTCCATGAGATTTGCACTTTACCTTAGCTTCAAATGAGTTATCTTTTAATCGTGGATCAATGAATACCTCCTCATCCTTGACACGGCGGAATGGAATATTTCTTTGCTAAATAAAAAAAGGTAATATTTTTTAAATTTTGATGATCTAATTGTTAGTAGCTTATAGTTTCTATTAAGGAAACTTGACATACAATTGTACGAAGGTTGCTGTTTTCATTTTGGGATTGAAGAAAAAAAAATTAAATTAAAAAAATTTCTTTACCAGTTTTCAAAATATTCAGTTTCATTCTATATACTTTTGCAAACAAGTAAGTAAACCAACTGCCAAAAGTATTTTTCCAGCCAAAAGATGGTATAAGCAAAAAATGTTTCAACTGCTTTCACCTTTTAATGGTCCTTTTCAGCTTTTCTAATTTCACCTTTTAAATGGCCCAAAAGGTCCGTGCTTGTTAAGATGTATGAAATATTGCACTGTCTTCCAATCAACAAATCTACAGTAATGACATAGGTGGAGCCCATGGTACAATGAATACAAGGTATGATACATAATGTTCCAAAATCGGTTCGCTTTCGCGCATGACGTAGTCAAGACCGCTTATTCCCGCAATATTTGAATGTAGTTGTATAGTAAAGCCTTATAATTTTAAGTGTTTTTATACAATTTGGCTAATTTAATTATAGTAATTATAAAGACATGATACAATAATTATGTTATTACAATATTTATCATAAATAAATTTTTTAAGTTAATTTAAGTTTACTGATTTTTGGTAGTTATTTTGTTAACACAGATATCCTTTATAAAACAAGTTTTAATTATCTTTTATTACACGTAGGTACAGGTTAATCAACTTATACTGCAGAGTTCAATATTTCAGATGTTTAAAAAGATACAAAAAAGTGGTAATGAAGGTACACAAAATTTGTATGTATATACCTACTGAACTAAACACAAAATCAAAATAAATAACGATAAAGTCAACTTTATTTAGATCGGACGAGCTAGCTGGCCGTCGAATATGAGTGTAGGGAGGTCACACAGTATTGCACAATATTTTAAATGACATCTTTTGTAATATTCACACATAAAACTATCTTGGTATTGTTTGTATTAATGATTAACATGAACAAAGAAAAATATGTTATTTTGGAAGATGATAAATTATAATGGAGTGGAAGATATAATGGAGTTTTTTCTAGTTGCATAACTATGCACACCACTCAGTTTATCCTAATGTTTTTAAAAGCACCTATTTTTAACACAAACAAACATTCAAAACATTAATTTTAACAAACATTCCAAAAAAGAGATAGTTCATGAAGAATAAAAATGAATTAATAAATTACTGCAGATATAGTTAGATTTGTAAAGTCGCAAAGACTAAACCCGGTTGGCCACTTAAAAAGAATACAAGATAATCTAGCTGTAAAAGTAATCCAGAGATTAAAACCCCAAGCAAATAGGACAAGAGGTAGGCCCAATAAAAGGTGGATAGAGGATATAGAGTTTAAACCATGAACATCAGGCAGTAGTAAAGCAAAGTACATTGTTAAGCAGGTCAAAGCCTACAAATGGGTGTAGTGTCATTAGAAGAAGAAAGAGAAGTTGCAATTTTTGACAATTTTCTTTAAATTTCTGCCTTACTGTCCTTTAAACGAAGATTCAACTCCTTAATTCTGAAATACATTCTTGACCTAAAGAAAAATTTCTTTACATTATCGTCACAATCAACATTATTAGCTGATGTTAATAAATTTTTAAACCATTTTTTCCTGGTTGAAGTCCACTCCCATGAAGCTGGTTGAAAATATATTTATTATCTCATATCTTGCAATTTGCATCGTCACTATTGATAACCGATATTGTCGAACTTTTGTTTTTATACTAGCCTTCTGTATTGTCAGTGTAAAGTCGTCTGAAATCGATATTTATTGTGTTTTGCGTTTAATGAATTTGCAAGAAATGTAAGATGTTTATTTTATTGGTTATATATAACCAATAAAAGTTTAATAAGTACCTACCTATTTGCAAAATAAAGTTTAATTCTTTAGATAAAATAAAACGTTTTATTTTATCTGAAATGAGTGCATTCCGCGAAGTAAAGGTGTCAACAATCAAACATTTAATTCTTTAATTCCAGGAATCTACGACAGAAATTGACTAGATAATTACCTTCTAAACTTATTCCACAGAAAATGTGATAGTGGGTTTTTCCATTTTGTAGGAAGGTCCAAGTGGCGTATTCAAAATTCTTAACAGTTCACTAAAAGTAGGTACTGCAGTTGCAAGGTGCAGTTTATTGTGTATACTAGTGTTATGGAAAATTTGGAAGTGCCGTGTAAACGCCGAAAAATTGGTCCTTTAACAGTTAATGAAAAAACATTAATATTTAGTTGTTTTAAATCATTTACAGACAAACGTTTATGTGAAAGTGTTGATGAGACCGTTGAGTTAGTTAGCAGTACACTTGGTGTTGGGAAATCTACGATTTACAGAGTTATTAAAGAAGAGAAATGTGGTAGTTTTCAAATGCCACGTAATGCTCCAGGGAAACCAAAATTTCAAATAGAATATCATTTTAAAGAAGGACTTCGACGGAAAGTGCATGAATTCTTCTTTAGACAAGAATTTCCAACATTGGATAAAGTTCTTGTCTCAGTTCGAGATGATAAGGACTACCCAGAAATGAGTCGAAGTACGTTATGGAAACTTTTAAAAGAAATAGGCTTCCGCTGGAAAAAGAATCCCAGAAAGTCTATTTTATTAGAAAGAAGCGATATTGTCATATGGAGAAGACATTTTCTAAGAACCATAAAGGAAATGAGAAACCAAAAAAGAAAAATATTTTATCTTGATGAAACATGGATCAACGAGGGTCATACACCAAATAAATTTTGGCAGGATGAAACTGTTACAAGTCAAAGGCACGCTTTTGTAAATAACTTATCTACTGGTTTAAACCCACCATCAGGAAAGGGACGCAGGCTGATAATAGTACACATTGGCAGTTAAGACGGTTTTGTTGAAGGTGGTTTATTAACTTTTGAATCAACTCGTACCAGTGACTACCATGAAGACATGAACGCTGATGTCTTTCAAGAATGGTTCGAACAAATGATAGATCTTCTTCCTAAGAACTGTGTAATAGTAATGGATAATGCAAGTTATCACTCCAGACTTATAGAAGGACTGCCCACAACCAAGTGGTTAAAAAAAGACTTGCAGAATTGGCTGAGTTCAAAAAATATTACGTACCATCCCGGATCTATAAGAAAGGAACTTTATTCGTTGTGTGCCCTTCATAAAGAAAAATTTAAAAAATATGAAATTGATGAAATTGCCAAAAATCGTGGAATGACAGTACTTAGATCCCCACCATATCATTGTGAATTAAACCCGATTGAACTGGTATGGGCACAGATAAAGAGTGAAGTTTCAAGAAAAAATACCACTTTTAAAATTCATGATTTTACATGTTAAACAGTTGTTTTTGGAGGCCGTAAATAATGTAAAACCTGAAAACTGGGAAAAGGCAGTAAATCACACTATTAAAGAAGAGGAAAAAATGTGGAAGCTGTACAATATTACTGATAAAATGATCGAGCCAGTTATTATAAATCTTGGTTCTGAAAGTTCATCTTCTGAATCTGATTTGGATTTGTAACAAGTAGCTGTAAGTTTTATATTAATATTTTTATTCATCTATTTAACATACCTTAGACGGTTTTAAAAACTCTTTTTCTATTTTGTAATTTTTAAAAATTAAAAAAAATGTGAATTTTTTAAAACCCAATGTAGGCCAGTCAGTTCTAATATAGTGTGTGATAAAAGAGGTCACTTTTGTTTACATACACATAACACTTTATAACACTGAAATAATTCATTTATTTTTTGCAATTATTCAAAGTAATTTTTCAATTAATCTTGAGCACGCCCATGGAGTGGTCGGAGGTACCAGTTAAAATTATGCTAATTACTCTCTCGTTCATAAAAATAAAGCTGTCAAATGACATGCGCAATATCATACCTTGTATTCATTGTACCATGGGTGGAGCCTATACCATATTCTCAGTTGATGTTGACGTGTTTATTTGGTTTTACTTTATTCACATGTGTCCTATACATAGGATGTTCCCTGTCAGCAATTGAGAAACGCAGTGTTGGTGTTAAGTATGACATTCATGAAACTCATGACTAAGTCTATAAGTCTACTACCAAATGTGTCTTTATAACACCAAAACATTGTTTTTCTTGACAGTGCCTCAACAGCAAATGCAGTTTTGAAATAATCAATATGCTACTTTTTATTTTCTTTTTCAATCAAAAGTCAAACAAATGATTACTTGAATATGTCCACGATTTAATCCACATTTTTTCGATAATTGAGTATACTGAGTTTGAACAGATCAAGATTAATGTTTACGAATTCCTATATCACAGTCATATATCAACAGTGTTGCACATCCTAACATGGAATCAGTAACTGTCGTACAACGCCTGATTGAAAATTAAAAAAAAAATGTAGTTGGAAAAAAAAGTATTAAAAATACATAAAATAATATGCATATGAATCAAACGAGCTGTAAGAACTTGTGAAAATAATTTTGGTTTTTCTGGATTTTAGGTAAAAATGATAAATATAGAACTAATGATTTAAGTACAGTTAAAATTGGTTTAGGTACATATGAGTCTAAATTAGTAAGTAAAGTTTGTGCTGTAAATGTGCCAAATATTAAGTGTAAGATGTAGAAGAGTGTTTCTGGACTGAACAAGTTATACATTCGGGTAATTGTAATATTTGAGAAAGCAGGGATAATTAAAAATATGTGAAATATTTGTAGGAGACATATTATGTATATTTTCTAAAGAATTTATATTTTGAAATATTATCTAATAAATACTGTTCTGAAAACATGTATTAATTAATGTTATTATTCCTTTTTGATGGTAAAATTTCAAAATGTAAAAAATTAATTAATTTTTACACATGATTTCATTGAGTTAATAAATGATTTCCATTCAAAAAGTTCTTGCAGCTCATTGTGATCGGATAGGCAAACTGGAAGACAGAAAGGCGGGACACAATTTATTTTCACCATATACCT